AAAAAAAAAAAAAAAAAAAAGAAAAAAAAAAAATTTAAGGTTTTCCGTAATTAAAGGGTTTAGAAAAAAAAAAAAAAAAAAAAAAAAAAAAAAAAGAGAAAAAGCGAATATTGTAGTTTATAACTTCCTTTGTTACTATTGTTCTTGTAATTCTTAGGTTAAAAAAAATTAGTTACCTTCTTTTGCTCTTTGACTTGAATACATTTAGACGAATTCGTCTTAACAAACTTCGTAATTGTAGTAAATCCTGATCCTTTACGAATGTTTCTGGTTCTTGTTGTTCTATATATTGAATTAGTGAATTGTATTGTTATAAGGCAAGTAAATGAGGAATTTTTTCAATTTCAACATCACTTTCTTCATCACTATCACTGAAGTCAGGCTGTGGAAGAACTTCTTCAATAATGGCAGCTTCATCTAGAACAACCTATTCGATATCAAGATTATTATCAATTTGGATATAATCATTAGCAGATATTACATACATATAATCATGTGGAATTTTAACAATAAGATTTTTAACTTTGGCTTCGGCTTCGATTTCAACTTCTACTTCAGCTTCGATTTCAGCTATTTCATTTTTAACTTCTATTTCAGTATAAGTTTTAACTTCATTTTCTGTTTCTTCATTTCCCAATACATTTCAACTTAGATTATTTCTCTAGCAATTAATGATTGTTTGAGGGGTTACACTTTCCCATGCTTCTGTTATAAACCTAATTATAGTGGTAAGAATTTTTCAATTGATTAGTTGGTATTTTAATTATTAATTTTTTTTTAATTTTTTTTAAATTTTTTTTTCTTTTTTTTAAAAAATTTTTTATTTATTCGTTATTATAAAATATACTTATGATGGTTTGATGGCTATCATATATTTTTATTATAGTCTTTAGATTTTTCTAAGTTTTATAAGCTTTGTATATAAAATTTTTAATGCGAAACTTTTCATATTAGGATTAGTATTTAGAGTTAGAATTAGAGTTTAAAAGGGTCTTATAGCATAGAACACTTTTACTTAAAACATTTCACACTGATTAATTATCTAATTTTTGAGTAATAAATTCATAGGTGTAAAATATCAAAGGTGCGTTTTAGTGAAAGTTTTTTTTTTATTTTTTAAAAAAAGAAAATGATATGCGCAGTATTCTAATAACGATTAATTGGTTTAAATTGATTAGTTCTGATTAATCAATTTAGAAAGTTGACTAGAAAAACCACTGTTTGGTCCTCACTTTTAATAGTGGTTTTTCTAGTCTATTTACTATTTTTGTTTTATATTAATACCTGATTGCACTTAATAGATTAATCTTAGATATTTTCTTTCCATTATTAATAAGATCAATGATATTTTGAAGATATAATTTTCGGTAATGAGCTTTGAATGAGTATATTATTCTGGCATCACATAGTTGCAAATAAAGTGTTTTTATTAGGCAGTAAAATATGAAGCTTGACATAAGTAAGTTTACATTTCGAATGAGATATAGTACTATCAACTAATAAGAGAATTTTTTTTCATTTTAGTCTGCAATGAGTATTTAAAGATTTTATCCAATTTTCAAAAATGGCACCTGTCATCTATGCTTTCTTACTGGAATCATATTTGGCACCAAGATTTTCTCTCTGTACACCTCTGAAACAATGTGAATTCACTGATTTTCCAATAACCAATGGTTTGAATTTATCTGTGCTAGTTGCATTCATACAAAGAAGAACAGTTATTTTGTTTTTAACTTCTTTTTTTTTTTTAACTAGTTTTGTTGCAAGCGTTTGATCAGGCATCATCCTATAATTTAGATTAGAAAATTATTTTAATTTTACGAATGATTTTAATGCTTACCAGAGGTGAAATTCGGTTCTGGTTAACTTCCCAAAAGTCATTTTTCTGAATACATTTCACCGAAGTTGTAGTACTGACAATCTATTTTACTAACAAGACATAATTGGATTCATGTCATTTCATCGACAATTAATTCACTGAGAAGTTCATTTTACCAAGAAGTTTATTTCACCAATAATTACTTCACCAACAGCTTATTTTACTGACAAGTTTTTTTTAATAATTGCACTAATCTTTAATTCTTAACTGACACTAACGACAAGACGAGAATTACTTTTCGGCAAAATGACTGTTGGTAAAATAAACCATCAGTGAAATAAATTATCAATAAAATAACCTGTTAGTAGACTAAGTTGTCGAAAATAGATCTTATTAAAAAAAAGAAATATTAGAAGATGACTTCGGGATAACTTTAGGATGACTTTGGAAAAGTGAGCAACAATAGTGAAATTCACCAGTTATATTGTTTTTCAAAAATGGCTTTGGCAATCGGTATTTGGTAATACTAAGTAAAATTTTAGCACTCTAAAAATCTTAACTTCTATTTTAAATTTTACAGTAACATTTTCTATAGATCTTATGGGGTCTTTGTCTTGAAAATCAAGTTATGGGACATAGTAAATTATATGTTCCATATTTAATTTTCAAGGCAAAGACCCTATATAATAATTTCAAACATGTTATAGTGAATTTTATCGTTGATGAATACTAAACAAATTCTAATTTTATATAATTTTATAAGCTTTGGTAAATTAGTTTTTATGTAATTTGTAATTTCAAACATATGATATATAGTTTAAGGATCAAATAATTTGAAATACAATTCGAATCATATGTTCAAATCAAATAATAGCTAATCTTTTGTAAAGCCAATACTTTATATTTATTATAAAATTATATGAAATCTATTTACTAAACTTATACAAAATTATATTTATTGTAGATTGTGATTTTGTAACATAACCCTACCGATAATAAAGACCAGTTTCATCAGCATTATAGACGTCTTCAGATTTATATTGCAAAAGCAATTCAGCTAACTTCTGCCTTTGATTAGGAAGGTCTTTCATTGGCCATTTTAGATTCTTCTTGAATTTTAAACTTTTGAATATTATGCTTTTTTTTAAATCTATCCACCCAACCTGGACTTGCCTTGAACTCAGTTTCGGGTATACTTAATAATTCTGCAAATTTTTGGCTTGAATTTGTAGAATTCCATCTATTAGTATTCCATGTTGTAAAATAACTTGTTTCGTCCAAATGGTTATACAATTTTCTAATTCTGTAAATTTTGCTGGTTAATTAGTTTTTTTTTTTCTTCAGACTCCATTAGTTGCATAGACAACAATTTATCCTTCTCCTTCAAGATTTTTGAAATAGTGCTTTGGTCACAACCATATTCCTCAGAGAGTAGATCAATTGTAATAGATGGGGAATCCATTTTCGCTGGTATATTTCTTTTTTTGCTTTCATGGAAAGGGTTTTTCTTTTTTTTCATGGTTCTAGTTCTTTATTTATTTTATTTTATTTTATTTATGTCATTACGAAGTTATCAATTTACTTTTATAATTTTTTTTTTTTGTAAGAGTCACTTGTTAGAAAACAAAAGCCTTTTTTATATTCTTTTTACTTGTGATATTATTTTAGAGATTTTATTATAACACTAACTTTTTTTTGTTTTTTTTTATTATATAGCATAGAGCTTTTAGAAAAGAATTTCAATCAGCCTTCTCTAAATACAATTCTAAGTTTCAAATGTGATTTTTGAGTTTGTCCAATTCTCAGAGAAACGATTTTTTATATTGTTCTCTAAATGCAAGTCGTCAAAAATTTGGTCTTTATGTGTTGCATTTAGAGAGATTTGATTATACTCGCTATATCAGGAATTATTGATAGGGTGTATCATATCCGCCGAATATTATATTAAATTAATGAGCCTTTTCAAATTGAAGTTACTAGTAGATTTGTAGGTGAATGTTCGTATTGTAATTGTATTATATTAATCATATACATGTACTAAATTAGAAATAAAGCAAAAAATATATTATGCGCAAAATGCTTTATTCTAAATTAATTCTATCGCATAAGATATTTTTTACTTTATTTCTAATTTAAGATTAATATAATACAATTACAATACGAAACTTTATCTACAAATCTACTAGTAAATTCACTTTGAAAAGACCTATTATTTTACTGTATTTATATTGTTTTTTGCTATTGTTATATGATTAGCTTTTTAGGTAGTTTCATCTTGGATTCTATTGTATTAATAATGGGAAGCTGTATCAAAAAAAGCGATATACATGCAAAAAAGCATGCTAAAAATCATGGCTGTGAGTATTTTTTTTTTTTTCTGTGTCTTAATTTGGTTAGTATTTTATGCTAATAAATTTTTAATTTTATTATTATTTTATGATTATTATTATTATTATTATTCTGGCTATTTATATTTCAGGAGCACAACAAACGATATACAGTTAGTTACTCTAAATGCACTCTGTAGAGACCAACAATATGCATTTAGAGAACAATAAGAAAAGACACATCTATAAAGTTATGTATAAATTTGAACCAGAATTCATACTTAGAGAACAATAAGCACATTTGTAATGTATATATTTGGGCAGAATTTGATAGTGCATTTAAAGAAGATATTCACTTTGAAAGGGCGATTGCAAAGAAATTTTAATATATAGAGCTTGGATCCAGTTATCTGTTAGATGCAAAGTTAATAGTAAAATCTGTCGGATATCCATTAAATTTAATATGAAAATGGATGACCGGATCCAAGCTTTATTAATATGAATAAACTAATTTTTCTAGAATGTGTTGCGGAAAATAGATTGAATGAGTCAAGAATAATGTATATTAAAAAAAATAATTTTTTTTATAAAATCTAGTCTAGTTGCATTCCTCTATCAGCTAACTTACTAATTTAAATGATGCATTAAATGGGCTAACAAACTTTTGTTTTTCAAACATAATTTATGCTGCAACCTGATTGGTAGATCAATTTATATCATGTGTTTTTGCTTAATTATTATTGGCTAAGGATATTAACGGAGGAATATTAATTATAAAAAAAAATTTATTTATGTTGATAGTGATATTAATGAAAAATTATAATAAAGTTAATATATACGAGGGAATTTTATATATAGAAATTTATCTTAAAAATAAAGTTGATAATAACGGAATGTTGATATTAATGAGGTTGATATTAACAAAGGTCAAGTGTACTAATAAAATCTACTAATATAATAATATTTCAAAAATATCTAAAACTTACAAAACTTTTAGATATTACTGATGAAAAGCAAAAAATTGAAGATGATTGGTAATTTTTTTTTATTCAAATAACGTTACTTTTTTCTTTTATTTTTTTTTTTAGAAATTTAGAAATTTTGTTTTTTTTTATTTTATTTTATATATTATGATAATAAAAATAAATAAATTTGCATTTATTATATATATTTTAAAAATATTCGAAAAATTAGAAAATAAATTAAAAAATAAATAAAACAAAATATTATGAAATATAAATCTTAATTGTAAATAGTATATAATACTGTATATTCAAATTAATTTAAAATAATTTAAAATAGAATTTTATAATTTAGTGTATGTGCGTTGTGACGCATCCCATAAAATCTGGTGTAACGTGAAATCAAAACAAACTAGAACGCATTAATTTAGGATAGGGGTTAGCACTAATGTAAGGTTAGATTAGATTGTAAGTAAATATTAGTTATATCCAAAATTTTGCAAGGAATTTTTTTTGTTAGAGCGCAAAAGGTGGTTTCATAAGCAAAATTATGAGTTACAGGCGATTTTTTCAAAATA